TGTTGCATGTATGTGCGGGCAGTTGCGTGCATTTTTCTGTATGTTTTAGACAGTAGAATTGAGGTGTACCCACGGAGGTACATCATTATGGTGTGTTCTGTAAAACTGGAGAAAAAATTTCGACAAATTTCTCAAATTTGAGGAGGGGCACAAACAATTTCCTTAGAGGATGTTACTAGCGCGATGCGTGGCTACCTGAGACGAAATGGGGAGAAATGTGGTGAAAAGCCATTTTATGTGTTTTGATTTTCAAAAGACGTTTCATAGCACAGGTGCTTTAATTATGTGTTCTCGGCCGTCTGTTTGTTCGGCTGGCCTTTTTGTTTGTTTTATGCTCGTTTGGCTGTTCATTCTTTTGCTATTCATTTGGTATCAGGGAGTTAAATACAACGGCAACGGTAACAAGTACAATGGCTGTGTCCGGGTTCGTTATAGTTCTCTGTTCACTGCGTTGTTCTCGGCGTTTTTGTCGTTGTTTCTGAAACTATCTTTCGCTGTTTGGGCGGCGAGCGTCGGTCTGCACTTTTGACCGGCCACCTGCTTGTTCGGTTGCTTTGTGTTCTGGCTTTCTTCCGCTTTGCACTCGTTTGGCTGCTCATTTCTCTGCAGTTCATTCAGTTTTTATTGCTTTTGCAGGGGACAATTGCCTTTTATTTACAGTCCTATTAAAGTTTCGAAATGTATTAAAACATAGCGAGGGCCAAAGCTCATTTGCTTCTTATATATTTAAATATCAAAGAACTGGACATCCCCACTGCGTTGGAGGTTTTCCTTCGCTTTGAAACGAAACGAAACGAACCATTTAAAGAAATCATCTACGAAAACATCCACGCAAAGTGCGAGTATCATCCGCGGAAGAACTGGTATCAAGCCTAAAACAAATTAAGATGGGATTACCTTGGGTATTACACCTAAATGTTGGATTGTGAAAATGTCTTTTATGGGAAATCATTTAGCAAAGGGGCAAAATAATAGTAATCTAAATAGGCGACCTTTCGGGCGAGTGGTGCTCCATAGATACTAATTACAACAATTTGTTTTTTTCTTATAGAAACGTAGTGAACCCAGTTGATGTTGGCCAACTCGTCCAACCCAGCAGGTCTGCCGCAACGTGCAATGCCCACAATTTATGATTGCTTTTGTATTCGCTCAGTAGTCTAATGTAAAGGGTGTTGTGGTGTCAAAGTTGACTTTAAAGAGTTATTTTGTAACACTTAACGCATTCTTAACAATGTAATTATAGCCATGATACAGCAAGTTGTTGAATCATTTGTTGTTATTTCTTAATTCTGAGTCACAAAGTATAAAAACCACAAAGATATTATATCACAGGCTTCCCAAGCTCACGTCTTGAGAAAAGCAAAAAATAAATTAATTGTAGGACACGTAGGTATTTAGTCACGCGCACCTAGCGTGAGTCCAGGGCGAAAGGAGACGTGATGAGTCTGAAATGACGAGGTGTTGGTGAACGAGAGGGGCCGTTGGGAATAGGCCACAATATCGATATCATATTCCAACATGGGTTCGAGGCTTTCAGGACAAACTTCTATATTTGGTATTGCTTTCTTTGTATCCAAGTATGTTTTGGGCAGCGGCCTGGCACTTTTTTTGTGTTTAGATCGTCTAACAAAAAGTGACGTCACATCCGGTAAAAATGCGGGCAGGGCGGCAAAATAAAATTTGACTGAGACGTAAGCGTTCTCCCACTAAGAAAAATAGCAATATTTCGTAATCGGCCGGATATTTCTAACGTTTCATTTGGCCACGAGAAACAAAATTTTGTATTCTTCCTCGTCATATCGGTTATTTGAGGAACAATTATTTATTCAAAAACACGTTGTTTTGATGGCGCGTGTTTTTACGAAATGTCGTCGTTTCTTCGTCGTTGAATTCCACAGGAGTCATCGTTAACGTGGAAATGATGAATTCTAGGTAAGTTGCACTCAATTCAAATATCCTATTCTCTTAGGTAGGCATTACACTGAGAGAAAAGCGCAAGGTCAGTTTACTAGACGTGGAAGAACCTATTTAACAGAAGCCTATTTTTTCAAATTTACCATTGACAAATTAAACACTTGAGAGTAAAGGAGAACTGTTAATCGCATATACTGTAAGAATAGACCCACACACATAACGCGGCGGAACTTTCTTGCCGATCGACACTAACACAAATTCATGTTCTTGCTTGTGCCTCAAACTGGTGTTATAAATTCTGTTACGATTGGTTAAGAACCTTAAACAAGATATCTGAACGTTTCCCTTGGCAATCCCTTAATTGGTAAACGCTTCATTCAACATAGGCAGGCCGTGAACCCCTTAAAAATAAACAAGAGGTTATTTCTATGGGCGATTCAGTAATCTCGTGTTTTTTTTTTTTAGTTATGTAATTTATTTTTTCGTTTCAACAGTGTTAAATGTCAGCAACACTATAAAGTTTCAATACCCCCCCCCCCCCCGATCCTTTGAGGTCAAGCATGTACCTTTAATTTTTTCAATTCCGTTCATTTGCCTTGTTTGCAGACCAAGTTCCTTATCTTTTAATCCCTATCATATTTGCAACTTATTTTGGATGGTTACTCATACATTTTGCCCTATTTTCAGTGTGCTTTCTCTATTTAAGCTTACATCAGGACATTTCAGTCCCAGGGAATGAGAGAACACTAGCAATTCTGACAATTCTCTCTTATAGAGTTCAATTATTTCAATTCATCACTCTTTCAATGTGCGATCTTAACAAACTGTTCGCAAACAGTACTGAAATATCATGCCCCGACACCCGGCCATAAAAGGAAGTCTGGGAGCAGGCAATAGCAACAATGACACTGCCAGGCTGGTGAATTTTTACAAGCTAATGAACTCATGTCTGACAATGAGTGACCATGAAACATGGTGCGGTGGAACTGAACAACCAGTATGTGAGTGACATTGCTAGCCAGTAGTGTCTGTCAACCTGGACTACACCAGAAAAGAAAAGGTTCCATACTAGAAGTTGACTGAGAGCAACAATTTGTACTCAAAAACTGAAGCTGCCTGATCAGACCAGTGTTAAAGCCAGCTTCATCACTACTTGTTAGGAGTTCCTGACTTGTGTACGTGGAAGGACTCCCTGTAATGACATATATGGGGAGGCTCCACTCAAAAGTTTTCAGGCTTCAGGTATAACTATTAAAGGTTAGGGGATCTCTGACAAGTTGAATTCAGGTGTATGAAAGGGGAGGGAAAACTGTCTTTTAGAAATTTCCCTTCTTCTGGTTCTAAAATGTTGTTGATAATCTCTCATTCACTCTGCTGAGCCAGAATGAGGGGATTCTGTTATATTGTTCAAAAAGACATTTTAAAACTTCTCTCTAAGGGTTTAGAAAACGGATGCAGTATTCTTAAAAAGGCTTGTAAAGGGGCACCCTTTTACAATGAATTGTCTACAAAAGAGGCACCTCTTCTGTCAAAATGGTACTAATATATACAAAAGGGTAAGGGGTTGGACCTTGAGATGGAGCTTCCCCATTTAAAACAATAAAGAATACCCCCCCCCCCCCCCCCCCCC